CTCCCAGTTCAATGCACATTAAATTGGAGCAGCTGCCAAATGTATATCATGTTGGTGACTTCTGCCTTTATTTTGGGCCTGAAAAGGATTTGTGTGCCAAGAACTTAATGTGATTATTTTTCCAGCTGTGTACCACATGCTCTCAAGTCTTGTCTGTCCTTAAACTGTAACAGCTACAGAACAAGGCCATCAATCTTCCTGTTCTTTCTGGTGGGAATATCAAGTACTGCCAGAGAGCCGTCAGAGGGAAAACAAAACTTCTGTCACAAGTTTTTTGTGAATTTTTGTATTTCCAAGAAGCCATTTACGCAGCAAGACAAACTACCTGCCAAGGTTATTCCTAGATTATACCTACACCCACAAAGATGTATCTGAAGAAATGTAATTAACCTAATTAGAACCCACAGTACAAGGACACAGCTGATAAGGAGGTCAAAAAGTCTTAATACCATTTATAAAGAGTTGCGTGTTTTCACAAGGCTGGTGGGGGAGAAAGGCTTCAAAAGAGAATTCATGGGGATTGTGAGACTAATGGAAATATCATAATTATTGTTTTCATTAATAAGATACCTCCAAGAATAAAAAGTGGTAAGATTATTAATTCGTGACAAATTAATAAAATCTTTGCCCCAGTCCGGATTTATGAAAGCAACAGTTGTGCTTAATGCAGTTTGTAGGTGGAAACCAAGCACCCCTTTGGAGGATGTAGCAAAGCATTGGAGGCTTCTTCCAAAAGGATGCACCAAGTGTCAGGTGTAAGGGGGGTTTTCTCAATAAATAATAGCAAAAGAAACCCCAACAACCCACCTTAGCCCTGTGGGGTAAGTACAAATATGGGTTTAATTCTGTTACTAGATCATTCATTACTGCAAGTTTCCTTGGCTAAGTATTAAAAGGAAATAAACACCATGCCCACAAATGGAATGCCTGTTCCTGGACCAAATGCCCATGGAAGGAAACTGAGAGGGGCCTCGTGGGCACACTCGGTGAGGACTGGTCTGGAAGGGCTGGGCTGGAGGCCGTGGGGTTCTACATCCAACTCTCCATCCTTCCAGCTTTCCTCTAACAGCAGGATGCTTCCCTGCATTACCTTTTGCAATTATTTAGGCAAGTGCTGGTGTTGTAGGGTATTCTCAGCTCTGCAGAAAGCTGACTGTGGCAATCCACAAGAAGGGAAATGGCTTTATGGAGACAAACTGAAGTTCTTTACAGCATCCCTTGGTGTCTCTGCACCTGACAGCTTGGCACAGTTGTGTGGCTTGTGCTTTGTCTCCTGCAGCTGGAAGGTGACTTGTCCTAGGATTCACTGAACATCTGACAACCACTAAGTGTGGGATTAGCTGCCTGTGCTCTGGGGTAAGGGAGCAGGCATCTTGTCACAGGTTTTCTCAGCCTCATACTTGTATCATTGGTTTCACTTTCTCTTTCACCAGCAGAATAACTGCTGTTGGAATGGTTCTCCCTGCTGCTCTCCAGAGATCCCCAAGCTGAGGGATACCTCAAGGTTGCTTGACCTTCAGGCCTGTTCTTCCTCCCTGGAGTGTAGTTTTGTTCCAGAGGATGTTTCCAAAGCCTGACTTGTTCCAGTGCTTCTCTCTCCAGCTCAGAGCACTTACAAACCACCAGAGTCCCAGGAGGCTTCAGGGTGAGTATGTTTCCATCTCTTGCCTTTTTCTGTCCAGAATTGCCTCTTCTCTGGGGGTGCATGTTTGTTCCGAGGGCAAAAGAAAATTTTGCTGACCACATAAGATAAATTTATCCTACGTTGCATCACTTTCCTGACCACACCATTTGACACAGACCCAAAGCACTGCCTTCCAGTCCCTGCAAACCTGCTCGTGCCCTGGTGCTGCTGTGAAGCCTTTGCTGGGGCTGTTTTGTCCACACTGGTTTCTTTAGCCCCAAGAAATAACGACAGGGAGCTTGTTTAGATGGTCACTCGGCCCTATCCCATTCCTGGGCATGTTTCTTGCTCAGTGGTGAGAGCCACGTGTGTGCCTTGTGTGCAGGGCTGCCTGCAAAGATCAGCTTTGGCATTATCCTAATTGTTGGAGCAAGTTCAGACACCTGACACCACCCTGTCAGTTTGCTGAGTGCTGGAAGGTAGGCAAAGAAGGGATAAGGAGCCCAGGAAAGACAGAACTGGGAACACAAAGCTAGATCTCTTCTGTGGTCTTATGGCAGGTGGCTGTGTTGCCTGACCTGGCTGGATGAATGGACCAGCTGGACTGTTGGAGTGTGGGCAGAGAGATTTGAGGGAAAGATGTTTTGGGATTAATAAAAGAGTTGCTAAATGAGTGCTTCTTAGAAACGTCCTTCCAAAGGATGCCAGGCTGGCAGGGGTACTCTGTGATCCACGATTAAGAAAAGAAGCTTCTCCTGGTTTTAATGGACTTAGCAGGGAGTAGCTTTACACTTCTTTGTATATAAGCATTGCTTAACAGCACTAGGAAGGGAGGAATGTTTTGTTCTTTATCAGGTGTCAGATATTTAGGCAATAGGTAATTGGCAGGAGATGTGAAAAACGGTCTTTGGCCAGCAATAAGCAATGTGAGATTAATCTGCCTAAAAAACATGATCTCATCCATCTTTTTTGTCCCAGGGGAGGGAGCCCTGGCTGTAAGCCAGGCCTCAGGCTGAGCAGGACAGACCAGTGCAGGGCTTAGGCCAGAGTAAGGGAACAGCGGGCTGCTGTGGGGTGGTGGAAGAACAAGCTCCTTCCCTCCATTTCAGGGGTGTCTCTTACCTGTGTGACACTGTGACTGACCAAGAAGCTGAGGATTTTCTTCCTCAGATTTCTTCCTTAGAGTTTCAACCTTTTCTGGTTGGCAGAAGCTCTTTTTCTGAGGGTCACTGGGATCAGAGAGGGAGCTGTGGTACAGTCCCACCTGCTCCTGAGTGCCATCATTCCAGTGTTTCTCTGGGTGTTTCACTAACTGGGAGAAGGGAGGTCCTCAGACACCGTGTCCTGGTGTTACCCTGATCCTAAAACTTATCAGCTCCCCTGGCACAGTTCAGGGTTGGATGTTTCCACTTGCTTTCAGATGTAGATTGTTTGTGTTGTACTCTGAATCATGCAGAAGGAAAGGTAAAAGCAGTGTGAAAAGCTGCTATGTGAGCTTCCCTCTCCTGGCTGCCAAACCTGTGTCCTTTTTGGGAGGGAGCTAAGAGTATCTGCAAATCTTCCATGTTTTTACAAGAGTGTGTAGTGACAGGACAAGGAGAAATGACTTCAAACTGAGAGAGATTAGGTTTAGATTTGATATTAGGAAGAAATTCTCCCCTGTGAGGGTGGTGAGGCCCTGGCACAGGTTGCCCAGAGAAGCTGTGACTGCCCCATCCCTGGAAGTGTTCCAGGCCGGGTTGGATGGGGCTCTGAGCAACCTGGGATAGTGGAAGGTGTCCCTGCCCATGGCAGGGGGTTGGAACAAGATAATCTTTAGGGTCCCTTCCAACCCAAACCGTGATTCTATGAAGATTAGAAAACTGAACAAATTCAATGCATTAAGCCTAGGGTAAGGAGATAATTTCTTAGTATCAGGCAGGATTCAGACTTGGCCAGCTGTCCAACAGATTCTTTGAAGTAAAGTAGTTCTTCTGTAACATGTTTGTCAACCAACCAATGTGCCATCATTTTCTATTTCCCCGTAATTTTCCCTCTTTAGTCCATGTACCCTTTTCTCTACCTCAAACTTTTTTTGCCAGTTTCCCCTTACTTTTTTTGTGTCTTTCCTCTCTCTCCACATTTCTTCTCCATAAAATCAAAACATATCCAGGCTGGGGTAATTTTGGCCTCTTAGGGGTGAAGCTGCAGTGTCTCTTGGTAGCATACAACCAACACAGAGTCAAGCACTCAGTTCCAGCATCCTCAGGGAGGATGAGCCACCCTAGTCCTGTCTCAAAGGGTTTGTAAGGGCTGTGCAGCGGAATTAGAGGCATTTCCCAGATCTCTGATACACACATATCCCAAAATAGCCAGGGAAAGGGGAGAATTCCTCTGAGTTGGATCAAAGCAATCACAGCAGTCCCTTTTCCCACCCTCTTGCCCAATGCCTGCAGGACATGGGAGACCTGGCTGATCTGCAGCAAGAAACTGAACAGTTCAGGGAGAGGTTGGGTTGTGTTGGAGCAGAATCAGTGTTGGCTCCAGACAGGAAAAACTGCAAACTGTTTGCAGCAGCCTCAACAAGTGGCTTCAGTACTTTCACAGCAGTGACTGGTGAGTGCCCCAGAGGGACCGGGAGAGCAGCCACTCCCTCAGCTTGCTGGACCAGCAAAAGCTTGCACTGACTCTCAGGTGCAGTGAGATTTGGTACAATCTGCAATTTGCACGTCCCTCACAGCTCTGCTCTTCTGCTTGACAGGTTTATTTTGATACTCAGGTCCCTCACAGTGACTCCAAAGCAGTGCTGTGGGTTTGTACTAAGGTTCAGTGCAGCAAGGATCGTGCCATCCTGCTGCAAACCAGAGTGTCTTTTTTGCAGCTGCCATGGCTGTAACAGAATCCCTGCATTTAGTTTGGTTCATTTTAACTGGAATGCACAGGCATTGGTGCTCCAAAAGAGCATTCAATTCCCTCCTGTACAGATATGAGACTGAGACTCATAAGGTTTCAAACTCAGTCTTTCTCTGTGTTCAGGTGATTATATTTTGCAAGACTTTTGATAGTTCACTGTGATATGTTAAATAAAACAAAGCACACATGCAAGCACAAAATGCAGGAATATACAGTGTGTGCAGTAACAAAATACATAAACCACGGGTTTCAATCATGGAGTTAATAATGTCTGAATTTTCAATGTGTGCTTGAATTTGATTTTCATCTTTGCTGGAAGTAATATATTTTCTCAACTGACAGCCAGTGTTTGTGTTGTGTTGAGTGAGAGAACAAAAATCCCTGGATGAGTAAGACCTTGTAGTTTTCACTTCTCTTTCAAGTTACAATTTGTATTGCAAACTTGGTACATTTAGACTATATATCAATATATATTTGGGTTTACCTTGGCTACTGAAGGAGTTTTTCCTCAGCTCTTATCCCTTCTTTCCCTCTGTTTTAGCTCTTCCCTGATGATGAAAAGGTACTGGATGAAATCCTACAGGACATCAAGGAGTTGATATATGTAAGGCTTGGGTGGGTTGGACCTATTATCAAGTCGTATCTGCTCAGGAAATTACCCTGTGTTAGCTGAGCCCCAGTGAGCATCTAAGTCCATCACAAGTGTGAACAAAACCACAGCAGCTCAAATCTTTTGTGCTGAAGCTCAAGTCGACACATGAGAAGTTATGAGTGACCAGTGCCATAGTTCAGTGCATTAACCTCAGTAAAACACTTGAGCACTATCTGACCAACAGCTCTGGTGACTGATAAATTATATTAATCCATAGAAATGCTCAGAATTGACACCAATAAGTTTTCAGTTTATTTGCTAGCTACTCACTGTGACATATTTATGCACATGGACTCCTCACACTTCTCTTACCTGATTTCCATCACCTTTCCGTCGCAGCCAAAGGATGGTCGAAATTTTGGGGGCAAATCAGGCTTGCTGCTGTTCTTTCAGAGACTAAAAGCAGACCCAGAACTGTAGGGAGGCATTGCCTCCACAGCAGCCTTCCCTGGAAGAAATAAACCAAAGGGCACGTGAGCTTGTGGGATTCCAATATCAGGATAAGTGGAGGAATGGTAAGGGAATGGAATGGACTGAACTTTGCAGTTCAGTCTTTCTGTTAGGAAAGCAGCAGATAATAAAGGACTGATTGACATAATCTGTGCTGGCCTTTTCCAAAGCTGCAGTCTGACCCCTAAGTATGTGCTGGGAATCAAGAGCATTCAAGGGACAAACTCCAAGAAACTTGACTTGCAGTCACAGGTGAAAAGACTATCTGACATTTTAAATGTGATACAGTGCAAAGAACATGCAGTGCAGATATGACACAGGGAAGTCGTATGTTATGTTCAGAGGGAGAGTGGGCGGCTTGTGATTATGTGGATAATTTATGGAAAAGAAAATAAAAGTAAAAGGAAAGGACAGATGTTTAAAATGTAAAATAAAACATCACTTTGAAGATCATTAACCAGATAATGCTGTCTCGGAGGGTAATACTTTTTTTTATATCTTATCACTTATGCCAACTTATCTTCATCTAGATATTGAATTATCCTGATAATAAAGAATGTAAATAAATGTTTTCTTTGCTGATATAAACTTATCTCCCATGTAAGATAACAAACAATGTTGAGTAATTCAGAACTAACCTTCTCAACCTTTGCCTCTGCAAGACCTTGACTCATTCCTGATTTCAGAATTATTTCATCTCGGTTTTTTTAATCATTTTATTTCCTTTTTGCAGACTAAAACCAAACTGAACACGTGTTGTCAGGAACTGCTACTCATGTTTGCTAAGCTGCTTCTCATGCTGTCATCTTATTCTTTCACTCAGGGTTATCCTGTTCTTTTCCCTACGTTATCTTATCCATGCTGTATTTCAGCCTACAGAAGGAGCTGAGACAGCAAAAGGAAATAAATGAGTATTTCTCATTATAAATAAAGAAAGAATGGGGTCAGAATTGCCCAGACACCAGCACGGTAAAAAGTTAACAGCAGATGGTCATGGTCTGAGCACAGGGCTGAGCAGCACAGGGTGGATATCTTATCCAAAATTGCTTCAGCCAGTAAAGTCCAGAAAAAGAAATGTTAGCTTATTTTAATACAGACTTTGGGAACTGGGCCACAGGAAAGGTATTCTCTTGATCCATCCAATGCAGCATGTTTTGAGTGGCTTGGATTCATTTTTGCATTGTACTGTAATGAATGGCCTTTCAGTAGAAAAAGGCAAGGTATCCCTTCTCTTTACAGTGGCTCTTTGGTAAGAAACAGTGAAAATGAAAGAGATTATAAAGAACAGGTAAGAGACAATACTGAGAACATGGTAATTTTGTCCTGTAAGGCAATGGCACTCAGTTACCTGAAGTGTTCATTATCTTCTGAGATCTAATTACCTGGTCTGAAGCAACATGTGTCAGAAATACAAAGGTTTTGATGACAAGGATGAGAGATGGAGAGAGAACAATGACATATGAGATTGCTTCAGCCAGGAGGTGTAAGAAAGGACTTATAGGAAATTTATAAGGTTTG